TTTGTTACACGCCACTTATTTGTGATTATTCCTCATCTTGTGAAACACTATATTTGTATCTTGACATTTAGTTTCTTCTTTGCGTTGTATTGAGATATATCATCCATCTTGTAATATGCAATCGTCTCTGCTTTTGTTCATGAGGAATCCTCACTGTTGTGTTTTCAAATGTGTTAGTCATTAGCCCATCCAGTATGTTAGAAATATCTCTCCTCGTTTTCACTTCTGACCAATTAATCAGAAATTACAAAAGTAAGTGAGTGAACACTAACCTAGAAGGGAATAACTTAAGTTTTGCGAGGATCGAGAAACATTGCGAGTTCATAACATCACACAAGAACTGATATTTCGATAATCCAATAATTTTTCTGGATTATAATGATAGGAAGTATTGCGTCAACTATCCATGGATAATGTTCGGTACTTAGTGTTCCACTGATTGTAACCATACTTTATTGTGTATAAGTGCCACCTGTGTAAGTCCGATTAAACCTTGAAGTTTATTGACAATTTACAAAGTTGTACAACTCAGTCCATACTCCAATCTTATTATATGTATGAATGTGAAACAATTATGCTCATAAATTAGGCCTTTTGGTAGCTGTCTAGTTGAAATACAATGCAATACTCATAATACTTGCAACCAGAAATAGAGTATTTTGCATTTTTCTCGATTGTCAACCAGTATGAGCCAACATGTTATTCACCAATCCATTAATAAAATAATCTTTAACAAATACATGACTACAGATAATTTTGACGTTATCCAAGTCCCGAATTAATTCATGAAAGTGGTGTTTAGTGATTGTTTAACGAACTGTCTTAGAACGTGTGGGAAGGAGTCGAAATTCTAGTATATCAACGATACTACAATGAATGTCTGTATTGATTCTGAAGGTCTGACACTGTGATTTAAGTGATGATTACAATTTCGATTTTCGCTTTGACAGATTCTTATATAAATATGAATATCAAAAACAGATAAACAGAATATGAACTGCATATGAATGACAAACTCATTCACAAAATACATGTTTGTATATCCATAAATCATTTAATGAATTCTTATCTAATCTAACCTGATAAATATTACAAATAACAAATATGCTTACATGAAACACATGAAATTAATCATTTGAACAAAATACCACAAAATATGCACTAATGTATGAAAGTGTACAAAATAACACTGAGAAATAGTATATAATAAAAGTTATTCAGATGAAGTCCTCTGAGTTGAGATCCATTGTTTCCTTCGTTACAATGTGACTGATTCGTGTATGGTCCGATACAAAGCGAGTACATGGTTGCATGTGCAATAAATGTGTTATCCAATGAAGAATGAAATAGTTCACTGTAAGGTCCATTAGCATAAATCGGTACATCCTCAGCACTGTGTGTAGAAAAACTGAGTGTCACTAATGATTCTGCGGTATAGTTGCTTGCAAATCTATCTTCTGTTGCCGGATCCGATCGAGGTGCATCCAATATACCTCTTGGTCCATTGAAATAGGAAGATATGAGATATGATTTATTATCATCTCCCTGTAACACAAAACAAAGCAATATTAGATAATTTCATTCCACTGAGTGTATCAATGTTTCTTATATGGTCTACTTTAATTGTATATCACACACTATTCGAATCCGTTATAATATTATCGATGACAGAGACGTGTAAGTTGGGATACCTTGAAAAATAACTAGGTTGTTCTAAATGACTATAATTTTCCTCAAAATCTTTCAACATTTTGATTTTCCAATGTAAGGAAGAGTAGATATTCAGTGACTATATTAAATGTTTCGAAGAAACGTTACTGTGTGATACAGGGAAAATACCATTAATTTCTGTGATACATCAGAAAATCTACTTTATACTTTTCGAATATAAACCCATTTACAAAGACAAGTGAAAGTCAGGGTGATTGTGACCTCTCATCATCAGCTGACCACGACTTAGATTTCGCACGTAAACATACAGTATAAATTATAGTCAACACTATAATTGGTGAATTACCATCATATTAATGACATTTAGTTGTTAAACAGTTATTTGTGAAAACACGTATTTACGTCAATTTTCCGTTGGATACATTCAATGAGGTCATTTTCAGTTACAAATTAATGATTTCGAAATCGAGCACTCCGAGACAAATCGATCATGTCATTATGCATGGCATATCCCTTTACTGTCTCCAATTTTAACTCTCATCAAAATTTAATTAAATTTCATCAAGTACACGATGCCGATACGAACAAGGGTGAATTCGAACAACATTATTATTATTATTATTGTTATTATTATTATTGTTATTAATTACAATAATAATAATAATAATCGTGCAAAGAAGAATTCCAAATACACATGAGGGATTACACATTATACTTTTCGATAAATCCTGTTCAGGTTCTACAGTTATACTTCCAAATTAATAATCCGAAAAATGGCCAGGTTTAGGGCAAAGTACATCTTTTAAAGTATGTGAATTTAGGATTGTTAAACAAAATACAAATCCGGATCAAGAACCTGGAGCTATGCGTATATAATTAATATCCTCAGCTACTCCTCCTTTCCTAGGCCAACATCAAGGTCAATTAATCAATTGTAATCTTAGCTATTCGATGACCTAATTTGACCACGGCCTTTCGTAGTCAATTGTAATTGCCTCTGTTATCTTTGCATTATTATTATTATTATTGTTATTATTATTATTATTATTATTGTTATTATTATTATTATTATTATTATTATTATTATTATTATTGGTTAAACATCATTATTAATCTCCCCTACACATGATTCATTCACTTCGCATTTATACCTCCTTATTAAGTCTTACTAATTTTTCATGAAACATTTGACCGATTTGTAGTTGCTCGATTAGTTCTGTCACCCTATCTGACCTATATCTTTGCTGATCATGGATCTTAGATTTCACATATACGCAGATCCAAGTTAACATTCTATCTGAGTGATATCAACATTAACAATTTTATTCTGTCTTGTTTGACAAGCATAAATTCACATACTTTAAACGATGTACTTTGCCCTAAACCTGGCCATTTCTCGGATTATTAATTTGGACATATGAATTGTAGAACCTGAAGAGAATTTATAGAAAAGAATATTCTACGTACAGATATTAGTCTTTTAATAGGATGGGGATCTTTAAACGATTAGAGATTATGATACTCAGATATATAAGCATGCAAGTACATCATCTCGCGCTCTAAGTAATTAACATTTAATAAAAAAATAGAATTCAGAGAATAAAATTTTCTTTTCGACGAAATCATTTACTTAAGCTTTATATTCGTATATATAGTTATATCGAAAATGTATGTCTATAGGAGGATAGAAAATAATTGCATCACAAAAATGTATTCGAGGATAAATAGCAAAGGAGGTTGCGTACTAATCAAGGGGTATTGTTAGCAAAAGTCGTACAGAAGACGTGATCTTGAAATTAATGAAAACTTTGAAACAGACGGAGACTCAAGCTTCTTTTCTTGAATCTCCAGAGAAATATGTTTGCAGTTACTTAAGTATAAAATTATCGTCAATTCAGCTACAAGCATGATCTCTTGGTCCTAAATTTTGTAGTACGTCAACTAACATTAATGGACTCAACACTAAAATCCAGTTTGAAAGCCTCGTTCGTCAGACTAATGACATTATTCCAGTATCTAATAAAGATTATGAGCATTTCAAAACAACTATTGTAAACTGCTGTAATCAATATGTAAGTAAAACGCCTACAATTAGTCGATTACTCACAAAAGAACATAAATCCCAATTAAATGATCTTCGGAGAAATCAGGACTTAGTGTTATGTCGCCCAGACAAGGGCGCAGGAATTATCCTTATGGATAGTCTTGATTATCATCGATATTATCCGATCCTGTCAAATTCTCTAAAGAAACCATTCAAAAAGACACGACTGAAAAAAACGGAATTGTTGCTGGTTAAAATACTATGGAAGATGAAAGGTGAGTCTATCATCAACTGTGACCTCTTTGAATACCTTAAACCTTCTGGTTCCGTTGTATCAAGACTATATGGACTCCCAAAAGTTCATAAGAATAGTGTCTCTCCCATACTTGATATGAACAACTCTCTATATCAATTGATTGCTAAATGGTTAGTTGACATTTTACAACCTGTTAAAAATCATATTCATAAATATAACTCTCTTGATTCCTTTGACTTTGTCGAATCAATTGAAAATATCAATGTAATTGGTAAGAAAATGATCTCATTAGATGTCACTTCGCTTTTTACAAATGTTTCTCTCACAGAAACTATATGTTTTTTATGTGACTATATTGAAAACAACAACCTTGATATGTGTATCCCTAAACATTATCTGAAAGAATTACTTCTACGATGTGCGCTCAACGTGCAGTTTAGATTTAATGATGATTTCTATAGACAAACAAATGGAGTTGGAATGGGTTCTTCAGTGGGCCCTCTCTTGGCTGATTGCTTAATGGCCAATCTAAGGAATTCTGTACTTCGTCCAATAATTGAGAGATTTCATTTATATAAGAGATGTATGGATGATACTTTCATTATTTGTGAAGACATGGACCTAAATGAAGTTTTGAAAAGTTTCAATAACTGTCACCCCTCATTTCAATTCACCTTAGAAGCAGAGGCAAATAATGAGTTTCATTTTCTTGATGTCCGGTTAAAAAGAATGCCTGATGGTTTTTTAAAGCGATCTATATACAGAAAACCTAACTGGAATGGGCAGTACACTAATTTTCATGGTTGGGTCCCATTGAGTAGAAAGAGGAAATTAATTCACTCTTTATCCTCTAGGATCAGGTGAATCTGTTCCACTGACACGATAGATGAGGAACTAATTTAACTTCGACAAACTCTAATCAGAAACGGTTATCCACCTTGATTAGTACGTAACCTCCTTTGCTATTTATCCTCGAATACATTTTTGTGATGCAATTATTTTCTATCCTCCTATAGACATACATTTTCGATATAACTATATATACGAATATAAAGCTTAAGTAAATGATTTCGTCGAAAAGAAAATTTTATTCTCTGAATTCTCGTTTTCTTATTCAATGACACTAAGGGTTATTTTACTTAACATTTAACCTACTAAGATGTGTATATATGTTGGTTGTAACTGGTGATTAGTCACACATACTCACACAAGCCTGTAAATGATAAAGTAAAGATATAGGCAAATAGTTACCGACACAAGTGAGACTACCTATTAAGTAAGTTATTCAGAGGTCATAATAAACATAAACGCATACAAGCTCAAGTGAAGGTGAGATCGCTGTAATGTAACAAACTCATGTTATTATGTTTCAATTGTTAAATGGAGAGAATCTGTTGTCGAATTCGTTGATAAAATATGTCAGCGATAAGGAAGTAGTCAATCTTTGGTTTGCCTCCTGAATATCTGACCAACACCGTATTCGGTTAGAAACATCTCGATACTCATTAAATCCGTTTTGAAACTGGATTTCATGACGAATATACATCAACTGAAGAACTTCCGATGATCACGCAGTACTTGACTTATTGTAGTTTAGACTCCTCGACAATGTTCCTTGTGGAGCACACTAGATATCAGATAAACAATGGTCATGTCTTCAGGTCAGCACGTTACTGTCAGACCACTGACTCAGTATTCGATAAGTTGAATCTTCTTGGAGACATATTGTTAAAGCACTCCCTATTAGATGAAAGAAGTTGTTCATTAACCCACTGTTTCCAGGTCCTCCCGGTTGATATCAATTCGTGACAAAAATCCACTTCAATCTGAATAAGTCTCCACAAACATCTCGACCAAACGGGAATCGTGTTTCCACTCAATCATTGTAAGCATTCTTTGCCTTGGAAATTGTTCCGGTGTTATACACGAGCTTTTATCTTCAATCTTACTGTTGATAAACCTTTCAAACGGATCATGCAATTTCGATATTATTCTCCAGTATCTTAACTAAATTGAGACTGGTTGTGTGTCTGCTTGTGTTTCTCCAGATTACGTTGAATGTCCTGTGTTGAATCTCTATTTATGTGACAATAACACATACTTTCAGGAGTCAGATATGAGAACTCTGAAACTGTGGATCCAGTTGCTAAGTGCTTTGAGACTTGAAACATATTACCAAGCATAACTTCGAGTTACTATTCTCATTCGATTTCGGATTGTTAAAGCTTGACACTGGTAGGTCCATTTATTGTCTACTACGTACCTCAGCTATTTGTAAGAAACTCCTTCCTGTTTACTCAAATGATTAAAAATGAAACAGAGTTAACACTTACTTTTGCAGTATTATCCACATCTAGCACACTTGTGTCCCTTGTCGGATAGCCGACCACTCCATATGCATGTGAATGGTCAGCTGTTACTAGCAGTAGTGTTTCCTGTTGATCAACAAGTGACAATGCTTTCTCGACGGCTTTTTCGAGCTCCAAAGTTTCAGTTAATGCATATCTGTAATCAGTATGAATTCGAAAAAGTAATCTTATCATCAATACACTTAAAAAGAAAACTGCATGTGTCGGAAACTTTAATAAACAAAATTCCGCCTCGAACTTTAAGTTAAACATTAAGGAATAATCGACATCAGTTTACTTCCCTACCAAAGACCAATAACCTTATGATTGAATCATTAATTTTAATAGTGGAAATAGTTGCAATTATAATAATAGTTTCTTACTGGGCTCGATTTTCGTGATTCCCATGATCACTGCATGATCAATCAATCAATAACCGAATTTTTTATAAGAACATGTAATCATTAAACACTTACATGTTTCATTTCAAAGACAAATAACAAAGTAACAAAAATAGTAATTTTAGTAGTGTTAATATAGTAATAATAATAATAATAATAATAATAATAAAGAATCTCTTACTGGGCCTGATTAAAATGATGACCATGATCAATTCTACCTCCTTCCACTAACAAAAGAAATCCTTTTGGATTACGAGAAAGTACTTTGATAGCAGCTTCTGTCATTTCTGCTAAACTTGGTTGGTCTTGGTTTTCCAGTTGATAAGCCAAATGACTCGGAGCAAACAAACCTGAAAATCAATGTGTAATATTATATCTGAATGAAATGTCATAATATGAATGATAGTGTCAGTAACTCAACACACATTGGTCCAATCAACACACAGCACGTGCAATCGATAACGCTTCAGGCAGCCTCATTTTAAACATAAACAAAAACAGAGAGTTGTTTACTAGTTACTGATTCACAATAACACTATGTAGCCAAACTCACGAATCATAGAACCTACCCAAAACATAGTCAACCGAAGACCAATCGGTTCGTTTAAACTCATCGTTTGTATGTAAGAGAACATGCTTGCGATTCATTTCGGTCTGCATATCCTTCCATTCTTGTAGGAGGTTGCGTGAATCAGAGCGTTTACCTTTCATGTTGAAAGTGGTATTGTCTGACGGACCATAGAATTCGGCTGCCCCTCCTCCCATTATGACGTTGACGTGAGAAGCATTTGTCAATAGTTGTGCAGCAGCGTCTACGCAGTGGAATCCATGCTTGTTTGACGGTCTGAATGAGGGGAGAAATAAGCGACAGTGATAATAATAATAATAATAATAATAATAATAATAATAATGGGGTCAAAGGCTCGGGGTGTGGCCCTCTAAGAAAACCACCTGCTTTGGTCTGGGCGTCCGGGCGGTATCACAGCCCACACACAAATAGAATGAAATGACGATATTTATGGAAAATACTATTCTTGATTCGATTAACAGTCAAACGATTCACATTATTATTATTGTTATTATTATTATTATTTACTACGTCACTATCCACTCTCTTTTATTCCCACTTTGTGTGTGTGGCGCATATATATCTGACGCCCTCTTGTACCAATATTTATGTGTTCAAATAAATAAATGAAATAAATAAATCAATTCAAACAGTTAGCCGAATAGATAAATTAATGTGGGTAGGCTCTTATATGTATTCGTGAATAAGTTGGCAATTTATTCATCACACCTTGTCTTATGCCCATATTGCACTGTGTTCGTACACTAATGCAATTTGTGGATATTGAATATATTATTGTGATTATCACCGGTTGATTTATTTATCCCAAACATTCTAGGATCAATTGTAGCACATTTATACCGTAATCCATCTTGAAATTCTGTATGTAGATAGATAAACAAGTCGATTTTTAAAGATGATTAATGAATTAATGGTGTTTTATTTCACCAGATGTCATGTGGGTAAAGGCAGCCGATCACATAGATGATAAAGCAATCAACAAAGATTCCCTTGACAATTTTGAAGAGGATATATTATAAACTCATTCATAAAACCCAAGTTCTTACTCTCTATTTTGAACCAAACATTTTTGTGTAGAGGTGATAATGGCACTATCATTTTATTGACCGTAACAGGTGAACGGTGGTTTCAAACCTATCTATTCATGACTGTGTGGAGCCCAAATAAGAAAGTCATCATTGGGAAGAATATTCTATTTAAGATCATGGCAATCTGACATAAAGTAACAATAAAGCAATTGCACTGATAAATGTTTAATAGCTTCCGGAGGAATGTGAAATTTCACTTCAAATTTATAATTCATTTTGAGTGATATGAAACAGATCATTTATGGACACAAACTTAAGTAAACATTATGATATATAGATACCACTATAGATACTACACTATCATTTTTCTAAAGAAATCTTAATCTCACCAATTTTACATATTTCATTCACAATGTATTGGGAAAAACCGTTTTATAAAATTAATGCTTCTTAGTTTGTCGTACTCAGACAAAATACACAAAACACCAACTGTAAACGGAGTTAATTACGATAAAACCTGCACACATAATTTGTGTACTTTATCACATTAAAACTAAACATAAATGTAAAATCATTGTCGAATATAATTTGCACTTACCCTACTGACTCCCAATCTCGATGTAACATATTGGCATATGCTGCTGCAGGTGTTGCATGAGTAACTCTCGTAGTTGTAACTATTCCAGTAGAAAATCCTGCTTTAGAGGCATACATGAGAGAAGATTTCGCTCTTTCCACTTCTGTTAACTCAGTACATTCACAGCACTTCACTGTTCCCGTGATACCAACAGTGCCATCTGGTCCTTTTACACCTGGAAATGTTTTAATCAGTATAACATGTAGCTGAAATATCTCATCAATTAAAACAACAGAAAACTAAATTGCTATGTGTGCGGTTTTGCATACAACTCATCATAATAAATCCATTCATCTTTGATAGTATAATGATCTGCTCATAGACTAGCATCTTACACTTCCAACTCAAGTTAAATCAACATTCCTTTGACTTGTATCAGTGAACTATGAAAACTGTATTTGACACTTAACCTTTTGAAGTCTTATTATGTACACTTCAAAACATGTTCTTTGTTTAAAATGAACTTTGATTCGACTCTTCGACCGATTGGAATACATTATTTACAGTATTCAGTATTTCAAAAGTTTTAGTCTAGCATATTTTCCATTATTGACAAATATCAAATGGGAAACATTGTAGAAGAAGTATCACTGTTCACTGGTTATTCGCCTTAATTTAGCTCATGAATTCATAATCACATGGAGAATAACATTATTGAATCACTCAGATATGAGCTAATGGTTTTCGGTTACTGATTTTGATCAATTTGATGTGATCAATACTGTTAATCGATAACTAATTAATTTTCTACCTAATTGGCTCTATATGGCTTAACCTCCCATACGAACTCCAACGAAGCTCATAATAAGGTGAACCAAGAAGAGGAGATGAGTTTTTATCTCTACTGCAATCGGCTTTCTCCAGATTATAAAATTATGGGAAACTCGGATCAGTATAAGTACTCAATGGATTGCGAACTTCATTAGTGGATATGGGATAATTAAATACTGATCAGAAACATCAAAATCGATCTATAACACACCTAAGTGGAGAATTTGTTATATCTGAACAAAGAATAAATGAATGGTAACTGCTAGGATCTATTTATAGTCTATTATCGCGTATATTTTTATTGAATAATTATCAAGTAACTATGTTATATGTATATTCATATTGCATAAGCATTCATAAGCATTCGTTTGACTAAGTGGCTACCATTGTACGTTTTTTTATTCTGAGGTCATTCCCAATCTATTAATTACAGTCTCTCCAATGGATCTAAATACCATCTCCCATTAAAGTTAATTAATCTGACTTGTAAGTGGAACTAATTATACATTTATCTATTCTCCAGATTCCGCTTATGTTGTACAGAAGAATTACAGAATCAATTTGATAAACGAGACTATCTACAGAAAAGTAAATCACAAAACATTTCAAGTGCATCTAAATTCATTTGCTTGAAATATACACATTGTTCTATGATCAACAGAGTGTTCCGATTTTTATC